TGAACCAGGCAGTGTCACTGATTACTTCCTGCAATTCTAATCAGCAAAACCAGTGTTGTCCCTGTTGTCATGGAAACCTGTTGGGTTTCCACACTGCATGGCACACAGTCATCCATCCCCCTGCACAGAATATGTCACTGTGAAGATTACAACACGTGAAATGGAAAACTTGAAAGGAAACTTTAGAGGAGAAGACGTCTTATTGGCTGTTTTTCCAGAAACACAAATCACATTCGCAAGGATGGATCCGTCTGAATTAGGGCCCCATCTGCAGATGTAATTGACGCCTATAGAAATTGGTCAGAATCTCTTGAGACGAGCCGTCGCTGCCTCATTGCCGCCCTTGCACTCGTGTCTGAACCCACATCTCACCCCTGCGAAACCCTTCAGCGAGACGTCGAGATGCAGAAAGGACGAGTGGGCCCGAAAGAGTGCTCATCCGCCGCTGTAGGAAAAAGATGAGGGGACGCTCAATCGGGCCTCCTTTATTAGCGGGAAGGAGAAACCTCGACAGGCCACTCAGGAAAGTTCAGCTTGACCCCACGTGAACAACAATCAGAGTTCAGGAACACGACAGAATGCTTGAAAGCTGTTTAACGTCTGGCACACGAGGAGGCCAATTTGCACATTTCGAGAATTAGGTACACGTTGGAAAGGCCGACTGATCACCTTTAATTTAAATTACGAGCTTCCCTCTGGTAATTATACTCTAGCATGAGTCTGCCTCGTTTTTCCTTTTTGTTTTTTCTTTCAAATACTTTTGACAGCGCTTATCGAGCTGATGCCCGAGTGAAAATTTCTCTGCGAGAGAAGCAATGAACTTGAATCGCACTCATGAAACTGTTTCTTCAAGTAATGAGTCAATGCACGAAGCGCACACTAGTATCTTAGCAACTGCTACAGCAAAATAGTAACAGGACCTGACTTATGAAATTCTTGTTTCACATAATCTCACCTAAGCGACAGCCTGAGGCAAAGCAAAAAACAGCTAAATGAGACGACGAACACAGAGCGAGCACGGCCCCCCCTTTGAGAACTTCGGCTAATTTATGTGCTTGTTAGACAGTAAATTTTAGAAGTTGCTTTTGGTGAAGAGTTTTGATTGAAAAATATATATTTATGAAGTGGTCTAATTTATCACAACTTCTAGGGGCTGCAAGCTATTTCAACAGGGAGGCAGCCTGCTGGTATCAAGGCCAGACTATCCTCAATTATTGTCTCCAAAAGCATTCCTACTATGTGCTTGAATTTACATCACCCGCACACTTTGCTTTTACTTCAGTGCTCATTGTCTTTATTAAAGGTCCTGTGTGGGGGATTTAGTGGCCCCTAATGGTGAGGTTGCAGATTGCAGAACTTGCTGTAAAATAAAAAAAGAGACACAGAAGGCCTTGTCTAGTGCCAGTGTTTGGTTTGTCCATTCTGGGCTACTGTAGAAACACAGTGTCGCAACATGGCGAAGAGAAGACCCACTTCCTCTACAGATATAAGGGTTTACTCCACGGTAACAACATTGAAAACATAACTATGAGTCCTACATTACATTTCTGTTATTAGATCCCCATAAATCCTCCCACATTAATTTAAAGAGTATCACAGTGCAAATGCAGCAAAATACATTTGCAACTGCTGAGTGAAAGCAATCGATGCTGCATCCTCCAACCAAGTCATTTAAAGACATAAATGGAAATCTTGACATTTCTGCTGGATTTCTGCTCTAATTAGCAGGACTCCTGTGTCCAACATATGAAAAAGAAAAAAAAAAAAGTAGAAGCAAATGTTCTTGTATCTAAAGCAGATAAAGAAAAGCTTTTAGATTCAGCACACGGTGAGATCAACATATGAAGTTCACAAATGAACATTTCGTGTAGTTTTTCATGCTGTGACAAATGTATCGCCACTGTGAGGATGGCAAGTGACAGCATGACACAAAGGAGTCAATAACAAATGAATAATGTTATAAAATAAGTGGAACAGCATGTACCTGTGACTGCACCCGCAAAACAGCAGTTTTACATTTCTGTGTGGTGCGACACATCGTTCAAGTGTCAGCTTAAAGCAGCATTTACTGATGTTATATGATAAAAATGCATAAAACGGCAATCTGAAACAAACGAGGCACAGATCTGGTCAGCAGTGCATTCGATTCCCAGCCAGCTGGACTTTTGCTGGTGTTATTCCCCCGCTTTCTTTCCCCACATTTTAAACAGGTGTCACCTCAATTTACAGCTCGATTTAACATAATGTGTGTTTTAGCATATTGTTGCTAGTTGTCTGGTCCTCTGACTGTTTTCATTTGCTTTCATAACTTCATTTTTGGTCGTTTCTGGTGAAAAAAAAAGCTCTAAAAAGCCACTTTACACCATCTGCTGAGTGACCAAACAGCAGATATACACAGTTAGATGCTATCTAGGTAAATATAACGGAGCATTTAGCAGTAAAAGAGACGCATATTTCCATCAGAGACATAAAGCAGAGCTAAAGGAGAGTAAAGATTTTACTTTGCCATGTACCAACGTTGCTCTGTCAATGCCATTTGTATAAGTGAGCAACCCAAAAGGTGACGTGTCAGAGCTCTGTTCACAACTACGTTCTGCTGCTCTCGTTTTTTGAAAGGCACGTTTTGAAAGGGATGATATCTTCTTCATAAACTGCTGCAATGAAACCATTTATCACAGCGAGAAACTTTTACTTTTCGGCGAGCCTTCAGCTACAACACCACACAGAAATGTACCCAATTCTTAGCTTGAATTGTATTTATTCTACATGTTTCATTCAAAAACTCTGCTTAGGTTAATGTTTTTTCTTCTGTTTTTCTTCTTTTTTTTGTTTTGCAGTTTTGGTAAAAAACCTGCAGGCA